CGCACCTTGTCGGCAGCATTGGGGCGCCTCCCACAGTTGCCCTGACGGTGGTGATAGAGGTCGAAAATTCCTCGCCCAGAAATTTGGGCCTTGAAGGCAGCTCCGATTCGCCAAATCGTCCTCGAATTGCAGCCGTAAGCCGCGGCAAGTTCGGCGATCAAACCCGCTGGAACTCGCTTTTTGTCGCCCTGCCTCTTCACCAGGACCACCCCCACCTTCAGCCTAAACGGCGTTGAAAGTTCTGTATAGGTGGCTTTGTTTCGCCGCCGGGAAGGCGTGCCCCTCACCATCGCGAAAAACGCCTGTTTCGGCGACTTCGTCGAAAACGGGTGGTTTTTCGGCTGGAGACCCCTTGCTACAAAGTACTGCCAACTTCTCAATACTTGATAGATCGACTTGAAATTTAGACTGCATACTCCCGAGACATAGGCACAACTTTGGAAGAAGTTGCATTGAAAACTGAGGTATTTGTGATAGGGAAGTTCTGTGCCAAAATCATAGAGGACAATTAATTCCGGATGGAGGAAGTATTTGCTATTGACCAGCCCCTTATATCCTGATTTCCCTCACACAATAGCGACTTTGCAAACAAGCAAAAGACACTGCCCCATATTTAAATTTATATGTTCACATGCCTGCCCACTTGTGGCACTGATGCAACACCAATTCGCTTTAATGAGCCATAGAATGGCTTCAGTGTTCCTCTACTGCCATTCCGCCGCATAGTTTTCAATTATAGATAACAATGCCCCCAAAATGGACATGACAAAACAGAAAACGACATTCAAACACCTGAATGAAAACCCACAACATTTCAATGAAATCCCCTATCCTTCTCCTCTCCTGTTGGTTCCCTAACCCGCGAATCCCACGGATCTGTTTTTTTGGTGCATCCACCCCAAAACACACCCCCCCCTTGTGCTCCCACAGAGAAATAAAAATTGTCTATTATCTTGATGTTTGGGCATCTAAAGCGCTCCCTCTGCATCACAAGTCCTGGCCCCCATTCTATCCCATCTACCCACACATCTGGACCCATGACAGACCTCGTCAGGCCCATCACCTCTGTCAGGGACCCTCGGGCCATACGGCAGGCAATCTCGCATTTTCAAAGCCCTCGCGCCCTGCTTACATCGCAGCCGAGTCCCCCACCGTGGCTGCTTCCAAACCGCCCATTCCAGCACCCGGTTTCGATGGTCCTAGTCCAGCGACAGTCGCACCAACTAGGAGATTCTCAAGCTGGGACCAAGCAGCATCGGTCCTAGTGGTAGCGACTGATCTTCCCATCGGCCTCCTCGTCGCCATTAGCACAGTGACCTACGCCTCTAGCACGTGCATGCGGTTTTCAAGCAGGGCATAAGCCTCATTGCATCCTCCCCACCATCCCACTGCTGTGGGTAGACGTCATCCCTCTCTCCTGCCATGGCACCGGATCAACACGCAAAGTCAAAACATTCCCTGCACACCTAGACATAACGTGCAGAATGACACACAACTCCACACCGACCATCCTTGCCATCTCACTCCCTCCGAATCTGCACCCAAAATTCCATGCAACCCATTCTGCCGGGCACCCACGCAGCCGCTTTATGCCTCCGACCTCAATCCCAAGGCTGTTTCGCCACTGTCTCAAGCTCTTGCCACGTTTGCAAGGGGGCAGCCAAGGTCCCTGCCTGGCCACTTCCTTGTGTAGAGATGGGTAGTCTCTCTTTCACGTTGTGCTTCATCTGCGGGTGATGGGAATGGGGCAGCACAGCATGCGAGCCAGTTCGGTCTGGCTTTGGCATCGCACGTATAGGATGATATCATCAAACTCACGGATAATGAGCATGTATGCCCATTGCATCGATTCCATATCACGTTGTTGTCAATCTAGTTAAACGCTGTCACATTTACTGTCATGGAATCGAACATAACAAAAAACCAGAAATTCTGGCGAGTTCTTACTACCACCATCCGCTCATGGTTCAGCACCAGACCTCATGATGAGGGGATTGATCCATTGTCGTTGTTGGACATTGCCCACACACAAGTCCCTTGGGTGTATTGAAGCCTCAGGCGTTGTGCCTTAATTAGGGAACGAAGGAGGTTCACAGTTGTATTGTCATTCTGTTGTTACACGGGGATCCCCATCCCCTCATGCACATATTCATATTGTGCACTTTCCCACTACCACTTCATTCATTTGCCCATCTATTCAGGCTCTACTAATCCTGCTTCTTCCAACGAATTTGATTTTGCTTAATTGAATGTCTACAACACAATCATGGTGGCTTGGTGGTTCCATTCCTATTCCTACTTCTCCATTCCACTCGACCTCCAGGCACAACTCCCTTGACCTTGCTAGCTAGCGTTGCTTGTGGCCCTGGTATGCCTTGAGCCTGGCAATTTCCCCCATCACAATATTCGCATTATGGTATTGAGGTTAGGGATGGTGGCTGTGAGGGTTTCTTGTGTACTGGCGGAACATGTCATTAGCTGTGGTACTGGGGTTTGGGGTGGGGTGGGGTGGGATGGGGCAGGGGGGTGTGGCAGGGGGGGAGGGGAGTTGTGTTATTGCTCACAAGCACGCTTCATAAATGATAGGCAATAATCCAAGTGGATGCCCATGGCTTTTTGCTGGAAGTAGACCAAAGACCTGAAGAATTCTTGCTTCAAGTATATGAGTGGCAAGGAGGGCACGTTGAGTCCTATCAATGAATGCTCTCCCATCTCACTCAAGATTTGCTGTGTACTCCCCCTTGTCAAGCCATGGAGGTGTTAAGCAATCTGCCACTGGGCCCATGTTGGTATTTTTGGAACCTTCAGCCCCCTTGGCGCCATTGGGAATTGCAGCCATGCATGTTGTGTCCATTGAAGGTGCCTCCATTATCCCCTAATCCTCTGGTACTGGGGAGGGCGACCTACTAGACCTTTTGGGGCATGTGGCCTAAGTTTATCATACTTTATTGTAACATAGGTTCTGGTCTACCCTCCTCATGCGCCACCCCACCCATCGGCCCTTCCTGTGCTCCTCGCAACTTGTGAGTAACTGCACAATTTAGGGATACGGGCCAACGTGTGCAACCAAGAATGATTGCCCACCCACGGGACGGATGGGCTTGGATTGATAACCCATGATCTAAATACAAATATAATGCCAGTCCCTATGCTGCAAGTGCATGGCCATCAGCCAAAGGGCTGAGAAGACTAGCTACTGTGACTGATGATGGCTGTTGCCTTGTGTGCGATGCCCTGAAGGGCCATGTGCTCAATAGAAGATGAGCGACAGACCCATAACCGGGGCATTGGCGGACTTCATGGCAGAAGTAGAAGGCCTCCACATGAGTTTGGAGGTGGTGCAAATCATGAGGGAGTCGGTGGGTGCTGCGATCCACAGGACAGTTGATGGAATTATGCATTCCGACCCTGCATGTTAAAGAAAGCAGCCAATGTGCTATCCAGGGAGTGATCCTTTGTGTGCAGTCAACATGACCTGAGCGAGTTCTTCTTGTCAGATACAGAAGCCATCCTAGACTCACCCTAGACGGGTGCTGGGGGTTTTGTTTTCATCTGTGACACGCAAATCTGCTTTTCAATAAATACTTTGCCACGTTGTGAGACCCAATGACCGGCAAATTTTTGGGGAAATTTGAAGCTTTTCGCTGAATTTAATGTGTTAGTATTGCACCAGGTGCTACAATGGAACATAATCGATTGACTCTCATCCAACAGTGCAAGGTGTCTTCCAGCATTACTCAGCATTCCGGCACTGCTGCCACTACCAGGGCGCTCAGGGACATTGTGGCCTGCAAGGTGAATCCGACGGGTGTCATACACAGCATGGTACCAAGGGCGAGATTGAGGCATGGCGCCCGGCATTGGACACCAAGCGTTGTACTCAAGGTCGTGCGCATTGGTGATCCACTACCTTCCAGAGTTGGAGGTTCTGCGGCTACACGTTCACAAAGCGAGGGAGCAGCTGCAGTGTCCCCACGGGTTTAAGCAGGAGATGGCATTGGCAAACAATGTGGTGTAAAACAGAGACAAGACCTTGCTTGCTTGCATGTGCTAATATGACGAGGCGCAGGGTGTGGAGAGTTCATGTATAATATTATGCACATTATACTCAGCGGGTGCTCCAGTTCAAGAGCAGCAACATATACTAGCAACAATTCGGGTGTAGCCTTGGACGTGTGAAGGATAGTTGCTGAGAAATGAGGGCGTTATTAGGAGGAATGGAGTGCCAGGGTGATCACCTCAGAAGGTTGAGTAGCCTGTCATGATACCAACATGCTGCAAATCCGATAATTTGAGGAACCTGAATCGTGGGGCCCCGGTTGTGAAATGCACATCACGGGTGTTGCCACAGAAGGCCACCATACCATGGAGGAGGCAGAGGGCACAAATAACCGCATCATCATGGCCATGGGGACAGGTCACGATATCTCTGCGATTATTCCCACCGACTTTCAGAGGGGAGTGATGCTGCACAACCATTCAAGATTCCACTATTTTACCTCTGCTTCGGCTCTTCTGGGTTGGCAATCCCCTTTTGACAATGATTAAATCTCACCATGTTATGCCTACGTCTGCGAGGTTCGAACATGAAGTTGAACTCCCGACCCTGGTCGCTGGAGCCGCACCTTGCCATCCCCTACAAACAGTAGCCTGCGATGCAATCCTCTAAAAGAAAGGCCGGCAAGTGGAAGGGGTGACTAGACAAGCAAGCCCACACCACTCAATTCAAGCGCAACAGAGACACCCGGGGCCTTGAACATAGAAGATCAATCCATTCATTCGCTCTGTAGCATCTCCCACCAACAAGGCAGGGCATTTTTGAAGCCGCCAATACAGGAGCAATCCATATCGAAGCCCACGTGGCCGATTGCTGTAGTTGCTTGGACACTGTTTCAACCCAATAAAGGCAAATGCTGTCAATGAGGACGGCATGAGTCGCTCAGGGAGGAACTCAGCACTCGCAGTCTGGCAGAGGCCCTGGGCGTGGTCGCCATTGCCACCTAGCATCCAGCCACAAAATCAGCACCCTTCTGGATGTTGCCTGCCAACTGTGATCGCATCTCCTCAAAGTTTTCCTGCTCCAGCTTGTTCATCTCTCCAATGGGCAGGAACTCCTCCACCCCACCCTTGCCCAGTCTCACCTAGGCAGCAAATGAAGCTCAGCAACTGCAATGGACTCCATTTCGAAATTCGGTTTCGAGACGAAGTTGTGAGGACAGGACTATGGACACAATGTATGAACCCGTCCCTGGCATTGCCTTAATGGCTCAAGGGCACTCCCTTGCCACTTTCAACAAAGGCAATCAACGGAGCAGCAACACATCTGGCTCACATGTCGCACTGCTCCTCCAGCCGTTCCCCATGGGAACATGTGCCATAGCTATGCACGTTGCTCTGCATGAAATCCGGTTGCGCTTGGAGACATCTGCTGTATGGACGAGTCAGACAAAATTTCTCGCTTCTTCCTTTGTTTGCTCTTTTTTCAACATGGGATTTCCACATACCTGGCTGGCGAAGAAGGGAAGGTCCGTCAAGTTGGATGCTACGTAGGTGCACAGGATGACACCTGTGTCGCCATTGAGCGCACGGAGGCAGGCGTCAGCGAACTCGGAGGCAGCATAGGCCATGGACAGGGTCGCTGATCCTGCACCGGCCTTCGCGTTGACAACCTCAGTGCCAGCGTTCTGTATCCGCTCCATCAGAGCCTTGGCCTTGTCCTCCTCCAAAACCAGCGGAGGTTTGCTCTGCAATTTGGCAGCTCCTCAGTCGGGTGCAATTTGTGGCTCGTATACCGGAGAGTTTATGTACACAGCTGCATTTTCGTGACGTGCTTGCCACGGCTTCAGATTCATTTTGTGCACGGAATGTCACATAGCATGAGCGTCGACATTCCAACAACAAAACATGATCACTTTTTTCATCACGCTTTGTTCTGAGATGCAGTCATCAAGTCATGTGCACCACACGACTGCAGCCAACTGGCAATGCTCGGGGCTGTTTGATAGCCACGCGGCATGGAATTCACCTCAGGAACAAGCACGTGTGCATGTGAATAGTGCCCTGCACAGCACTGTAGATGCAAAGACACTGTTTTTCATATTCTTGAAGGATGTACGTGGTGAAGGTTTGGGTAGCGACAATTTACAATCCATGCTTCCAGGCACCTGTTTGGATGCTTTCTAGAGTCACCGCTGTCATGTTGCCCACTAAACTCTCTGAAAGTTGTCTCTTCCTGCTATTTTCGCATTGCATTGCTGTCACATAGCATATGACACTGTGCAGAACTGCTGAAAAGACCCTTGCATTGAACACTGTCTTGTAAGTTACAATTGGCCTGCTCATGTGGACACCCAAACCATCTGTTCAAGTTGCATGATGTGCAGGTATGTTGCGTTCTGTACTGATGATGCCACAAAGATGCCAAGGAGAAGCAAGATCAGAATAGACAGCAAAAGCACCTCAAATGCCAACGAACAACAAAACATCTGCAACAGCACAGACCGTCAGGTGCCATCTTAGCAGACCACATAACTGACTGTTGAGCAAGGTTCACTCCAGTTAGAAGTACCACTGGCATATGCTCGACAGGCATAATGCCTACTCAAAAGCAAATCATCTCTACCCTTCGTGGATTGTGGTATGGTACTCTTTTGGTGCATATTGTGGATGGCTATAATTTAGACAATGAGTAGGTACACACTGCAGCAACAATGCTAGACGCATTTAGAGGCAGCTCTGACCATCTCTGTTGCAAAATTCCTCTGTGATTCAAGTTGCGCAAAGTTATTGGCAATTACTGACAAAGGATGGGGTGCCTGGTAAGGCGCCACAGATATTTGGCAATTAAAGCACTTTATATTCGCCCAGTCTTCTCAGTTTCTGACACTACGTCATGCAATGCACTGGCAGCACACAGAAATGAACAGGACCCAACAGTACTACTGGTGCAGTGGCACCGACACGCCACAATTTGATGATGTTATGCCTGCCAACATATGAACCGCATTTGGCACAAATCTCAGATCTTGCTTTGCCCTCACCTGGGACAGCAGGGGCAGGATAGTCGTCCCTGCATGCCCGCCAATTACTGGCACAGTCACTTCCTTGGGGTTCACACCCAGAATCTCAGCTATAAATGTTTGTGCACGCACAACATCGAGCGTGGTGACACCAAACAACTTCAGCGGATCGTAGACCCCTACCAGACACAAAAATTCATGAGTGATGTCTAGCTCAACAAAACTTAGTGGGTGGAAAGACCGTGGTTTGATCAAGTGAAATGTGCTCTCCAAAAGAGTGCAAAAACTGCTAGAATACAAGTCGAATGGGTTAAGAAGCCAATGCATGCTGAGCCGCTTGGATGGGAGCCAACTGAACGAAATATTTTGTATGACTGTGTTTTCGCATTTCAAATAACTTGTGGATTGGCAACACATTCAGGACTTTAGCATGGCACATGCCTGTGTTTCACAAACCATGTTGCAAATGAACATAAGGCAGCGTCGTATCAAGTGTATTCCTTGGGCATATGCATTGGACTGTTTACAAGGCAGACATTGTGCCGGCAGTTTACATGAATCTGTGCTTCTTTGTACACTTCAAAATATAATAAAGACGCCTGGTGGCACAACAAAATGCATAGCTATGCATGCTGCATGTTTTTGTGTGTCTTGCACTGTTCAGCAAGCGATGTGTGAATCAGCAGTCTCACAATCTTGTTGGTCAAGAGAGGCGCCCATTCCTTGACATACTTTGTTTCACAGCAAGGCGAAAGGGGCCAAAGAATTTGCCTGGCAATGGAGGCAGGGTTCATTGTATGACAAGGCTATCTTCCTTCTGGACAAGGCAACTCACAAGTGTAGCCACTGCCAGAGCACGAGACAATGTGTATAGGGTGCTGGAGGGTGGCAGTCATCCTAATGATGAACTATTCACACACAGGCTCTGACCCACGGCATCCCCCACAAGGAAAAGATGTCAATGCATGCACCCTGCAGAATCATGAATCCAAAGGTGCTGTCTGCTGGAATAAAATCTTCAATACATTTAGTGGGCACAAAGTGTCATATAAAGGTTCCGGCACCTTGATTGTGATGGTAAGCACAGCAGCATCCAACAAGAGTACGTTCCATTCCAAGCTCAATACTAGTACTGAGTGCAGTTTTCTGATGGGCGTAAACCATCTGGAGAACCATCTGTACACTGTCAAATGGATCTCAGAGTTTGGATACAGTGAATAAGAACTTAGAACTAGACTAGTTGTCCCATGACAGAAAGCATCCAGAAAAGGGTGCAAGGAAGGGGCAGTCACCTTTTTGTTTCAGCACCTCTGCAGCAATCGGCACCGTGCTGTTCACAGGGTTGGAGATAATCCCAATCCATGCCTTGGGGCAATGTGCAGCAACGCCTTCAATGAGGGTCTTCACAATCTTTGCATTGATGTTGAACAGGTCATCCCTCGTCATGCCTGGCTTCCTTGGGACACCTGCAAACATGCTGTGTCTCAAACTCACAGGTTGTACTATTTGAAGCATCGACATGTCGATGATGCCATGCAAAAGTTCGTCTTATTTTGCTCCACACTGAATGTCGGAAACATGGGTTTGATTCAATTTGTCACATGTGCTGGGATATGCTACGCAAGCAGTCAACTACATTGAACACTCAGATGCTCCAGCAAGAATGTGAAATAGCACATACAGTAATGGGCAAGAGCACTGGCGACCTGACCTTCCTAGCCAGGGCTACCAACCTGCAGGAATTATCACAAGGTCACACCCTGAGAGTGCATCCCCCAGTTGGGCATCCCCAATGAAGGCTGTGACCTTTGCGTTTGTGTTGATGTGAGACAAATCTGCACCAACCCCTGGAGTGTTGACAATGTCGTACAGCCTGAGCTCGCCAATCATTGGATTGAGCTTCAGCAGGAGGGCCACGGGTTGGCCGATGCCGCCAGCAGCACCCAGCACTGCGACCTTTGCCTGCCCAAGAAACCAGATGAGGTCAGGGCCCAAGCTGCACTGACACTCGAAATCCCCTTCGTTTTCATAAGTCAGAATGACAAGACAAGCAGAGCACTGTAAATCACAGAGGATAGAACCCTTCCGCATTCATCATCAAGGCCGGGGTCAAGAACACAGGAGGTATTATCCTGTGTACCCTTGCACTACATAACGTGCCCCCTGCATTCTGCATCCATCGTTGAGCTGGTATTGTCGCCAGCCCCCCCCCCCCCCCCCCCTCTCCCTGGGCGACCGCCTTTCCCTGCATTGTCACATGGACCATCAGAGCGTACCCGCACCTGACCATTGACTACCAATCCAAAGAACAACGCCAATCGCAGATAAAGTGCCAGGACAGTGTGGTAACACTTGTGTGATTTCGTGCACTGTGCTGTTGCACCCTGTGGCAGTGAATAAGAATGTCTGACCAGGGGAGCTGCATATCCCCTGCCCTATGTAGCAGATCCCCTATGCTCTGCAACACCAGCCATGGTCGATCACACTGGGGGTGCTATCTAAGGCTCCCCATGCAGTTCAACACCCCCCACTCTATCCTCCGTGATCTATGGTACTGGCACAGGAAACCCGGAGATTGGTGCACATTTGAATCCATCTGTCTAATTGTGACAATCCACTGCGGTTGTACCCATAAAGAGATGCCTAAACATTTGGCATTCACAAGAGTGGTGTCCCATATTGTTCGTAGTTCCCTGCCAGGCAATTGCAGGAAGAAATGCATGCTCATAGCTGCCAACTTCATGAAAAATCCATTCACATGCAAGCAGCACAAATGTCATGATGCCCCCAAAGACCTTGATACATCAATGTTGCAAGCTTCATGGCTCAACAACTTGACAAATGTTGTGTACAAAATGTGCAGTCCATTTGCAAGGTATCACTATTTTTCTGGCATGCTTTAAGGATTTTGTAATACAAATATACGCTGCTGATTTTGTGGTCCAGTACAATGAAAGCAAAGTGCTCAATCGCAAGAGCACACTCTGAGTGCCACATCCACCAAGAGAGACTGTTCTCAACTGCACATGAAGCTTTCTGTTTCATACAGAAGAAAGATCCATGATAACTGATTAGGGTACGGGCTCCAGAATACCTCCGAAAATGCAAGGCCTGATGTTGTATGCGGCCAGGTAACGCTGCAGATGTGATATGGACCACAAGACAGTGATTTCTGCTGCTCTGCAACAACACAAGAGGATAAACAGAATTGCTTGTCGTGACAAGGAGCCCTCTTTGGGTGTGGCTGGCGGCGCTTGCTTTTATGCCTTTACGCATGCTACAAAACGCCACTAAGCAAGGCTAGCAAAAGTCGGAAACGACCACTCCGGTGCAAGACGCAAATCTTGACATGGGATCGACACCTCCCCCTCAACTGCACATTGTCCTAATTTCATGATCTGCAACAGCCAGTCCGGCGACGTCAAATCAAATTCTCCGGTGACGTTTGGACGCTGTTCGAAACCTTGTTCCCAAACCGCGGACGGAGATTGCTAATCCGCACAAAATATCCACAAAGTATCCCAACACAATCCCGATACCCTCAAATCAGGCGGCACAGCCCATCCACAGGCCGGCATTCACGGCAAGCGAATACCCCGTGCGGATCGTTGCCAGCAGCGACGTTTGGCCCCCTGCCCAAACGGCCGCGTGTACGCGCGCCCTCGCCGCTGCAGCCCCGCAACCGGCGTTCGAGCAGAGCCGCCGCAGGCAGGGAATGCGCACACATCCATATCCAATGCCTCCGGCCAATCAAAATCGTCAGCGGATCTCGCGAAATTTGCGTTCCCTCCCTCCAGGCAGCCCCCGTGCGCGAGCCCCGCGAACGGCTGCCCGGCGCCTGTGGCCACGCGCGGCGGCGGCGCGGATCGAATGACACGAACTTGACTCAAGACCGAGTTCGGGCACGTTCATCGATTCGCGGTTCGAGCTCAGGAGTCGCGTCAGTGCGGCGCTGGATGCCACAAGGCCCACAGATCGGGACGGGGCGCGATGCAAGTTTCTGGATCATCCCGCGAGCCGGCGGTCGTCCCACAGCGGAGCACCGCTGCCCCAGTCCGCACATGCTCAAAGGGAAAATGGGCTTGTATTCAACCACTTGCCATCGGATGCGTGCTGCCGCGGGCAAGCGGGCCCCGGGTGGCGTTGGATGGGCTCCTAGGCAGCGGGGGCGGTGGGGCGGCTGGCTTGGGCGCGCGGCGTGGTCAGGGGCTCGTGGGTTTGTGTTGGGGAGGGTCGGGGGTCGGGGTTTTGTCCCTGGCGATGGGCGTGGCGTGAGGCGTTGGACCGTTTGGAGGGGCTAAAAATGACGGAAAGAGGGGCAAATTTGGCCCTCTCGAGAGGCCTGTGCACATCTTGGCCTGCCACCTGACGACCGGTGCATCAACGCTTCGCCGTCGCCCGCCCTCAAGTTTGCCGTGTAGTTTGCGTGCCAAACTACAGGAGGGGTCCGCGTGGGCAGAGGCATCTTACCGGGATGCGGGCTTGGTCTTGAAAAGACCATTGGGATTGTTCAGTCCGGGATTTCCATCCGCCCAAGCATTCCCAGGGCAATTTTGCTCGCACGATGGATGGACACACTGCTCTGGCATCATCTCGCCGAGCGCCTTCAAGGAAATGGGTGGTGTGCTTCGCCTTGAAGCTGCCTCGACATTGTTTGTCATCGATTTTGCAAATGCCACGACAATCGACAAACACTTTGTGGCTGCTCCAGCAAAATCGACAACAGCGCACAAACAATGCCATGTTGTATTTTCCACTCAGCATCTTCCTGTTCCCACGTGAATCGACATTGACGCATGTATCAAAACATGGCAACCGAACTTGCTCATGCACTGTCAGGCAGCATCCTGACTGTCTACTGTGGATTGTGCCTGGCTGGTTGCTGTGTTTATTTGCAATTAGATGAAGCAGGAAACCAGCTGACAAGGACAGGTGCCGGAATTGAGCACGAACAGCCTCTGTGAGTAGTACATACGCTTTCTTGGAACCATAAATGGAACTTGCAAGTGCTTGCCACCCCCTTGTAGCTGCCACAGCATAGATATATCGATGCAGTGAATGCAATAAAGGCAGATATCCAGTGCCACTCAACAAAAGTTGCGAAAAGTGTGGTGTATGAAGCCCCTCGTTCCCTTCTCCGCAGTACCCACTCAGTTGAGCACTTTTTGCACTTTGTGTGTGCATATGATGCAGGGGCTGCCAAGCATATTGAGTTCCTTGTACGCCATTGGGGACTAACTGACTCTGAAGAACTGAACTCAGCAGTGAATTGCACCCAGCGGAGACTCTCTACCAAGTTCATGCCTCTGCAAAGAACTGTGGCATGACCAGTTTTTTCTTCAGCGAATTGTTACTTTGTGGGGTGCTTGGGGCCACAAGCTGTGCCAACTCCTGCTGTCAGGATGTCCAGGGGACAAGGCCACAACAATATTTTCCTTGTCTTCAACTTCCCCGTCTACACAGCCTGGTATAATGCGCTTGGGCCCTAGGCAACATTTCTGCGGTACTGCCTCTTATCCATTCTCCTAGCGTTTCAATGCAGAGATGGACTCCAGAATGCCAAGGAAGCACAGAAGGGCAAGAATGTGATGTCAGTTCCACCATCTGGAATTTCATGTAACCCATGGTCGTGCATATTTGTTTGCATACTGTCGCCTCATGGCTACTCTGAGCAACACTGGAACTGAATGCAATGCGGATTTGGTATGGACATGCTATTAATGAGGATGCCACAGTTAGCAAAGTGAAGTTTGCAACAAGGGCATTTGGGGTCAGAAGGTATTCTCTGTACTGCCTTTGGTTGCATATGTCCTGTGTGAATGAGGGAGTTTTGGGTTTGATTGTGTACGTGCTGTCTTCTGCATGATCTGGTGCCAAAACCCAACTCACCAAGAACAAAACGCCCCATTGTGCATTGGAAAGGCAAATCTATTGAAAGCAGATTTCACTGCACCAGATCCCAACGTGGTTTGCCCTGTTCTGTGCTGATCCCAGCACTTGTTTCTGTTCGGAATTTGACTCTCGTGGAAGACATATTGGATTTTAAGATGGCTTCTTCGGTTACGCCACAAGTACTGTCATGAATTGGCGCCAAAACGTGTGAACAAGTCCAACAATTCCCAAGCCCAAATTATCAGCAATCAAATCGCACGATCGCGGGCTTGTATGGCAGTTGGGTGGGGGCCATTTTATTTGTCAGTACCGGTCAGCGCTGGTCTCCCCGTCATCCGAAGGATGTTCCCAACAGCAAGGTCACTGCCTGGCCAATCAACTCATTGCCATTGTTGCCAATCACGGCATCGATACACCACCTTTGGCCGGCTGTCGGGTAGAAAATGGGAGGCCAGACGCCTCAGGCGATCCATATCGGCGCCGCCCCTCAATCCGCAGGCTGCGTATCCCGCCCCGCGGGCACCTTGATCCGTCGATTGCACCGCGCAATCCAATGCAGCTCCCAGACGCGAACGCCTGCCGATGTCGTCGTCGAAAGGGTTGGAGATGCGGCTGTTGGCTGATGAGGAGCCGGCGAGGCGCCCGAGGGAGGACGCGAACGGTGCGTCCTGGCCTGGTTGTGCTGCGAGCCGTCCTGCCTTGGCCTCTGCTACCCTGCCGGTGTTGGCGGGGGGCAAGTAGTCGGCCCACGTGGCATCCCATCACCAAGCACCACCGCATTCGGTGCGCCTCTTTGTGCCAAGAAAAGGGGTGCTTTCTGTTGCTCTTTGTGCACCTGCGGTGGTGGCACATCGGCCATCCCCGACAATGGTGCAAATGTGAGCATCCTAAGTACTAGAGGACCAGAATGCCCGCGCGGCAAGCTTAATAATGCCCCAGCATTATGCGGCAACTCGGCCAAACACCGATGTTGAGTGCATTGCAAGCCCGAGTCGATGTTTCTCACACATCTGAGAATCGCCTCTTTATCTACATATGACAAATCAAACGGACGCACAGAAGCGACCACAAGGCATCCTGTATGATGCCGTTATTCAACTTCAACATCCGCCACAAACTGAATTTTCGAAGTTGTGTCGAGAGTGCTTTGGTTGTACCCCGCAACAAATGGAGTTGTATCACTGCGACCCAAACTTGCAGACAGCCGTAGCTGTTCGATCGGCTGTTCGTTTCGCCCCCAGCGGTGGTCACTATCCACGCTCTTGCGCACGTTGTGCCAATGAAAGGGGGAATCACTGCGGACCTTCCCTCACCTAATACACCCAACGCCGCCTATTCAATGAAGAGGCGTGGTTTTGCCACATAGATAAATAACCAAGTCGATGCGGTTTTCGAAGGCAAATGAACGTGGTCCCGTCGGCTGCAACGGACATTGCGGCGTTTCCAGGCTGTGTACCGTCATGTCGAGGTGAGTGAAGAATGCAACCACTCGTTCCACAACAGGAATACTGTCACCACAGGAAGAATCTCTAACATACCTTCGTTCTCCAGCGAATACTATGTCCCCTTCCTTGATGTACCAACAAATCGAGTTAAGAAATTCTATCCACATTCAGATGTTGGAAATCGCTGAAATGATGCCTCAATCATGGCCACACAATTCCTAGATCATCAAATGTGCTGTAGCGTGAAGCCAACAGTCATCCACCCCTTGACTGAGCAACGTGCGACTTCTGGTCGCTAAGTCAACCGCACACATATTTTGCCGTTATAAGGTTTATGCTGCATTTCATGGCTCTACACGATGCAAACATGCCTATTGCGAATTTGAATCCAGGTCTCATGCCCATCACGACCAGATCTCCCCCACCAAGAAAAGCAAAAGAAAAGGAAGACAACAAATGTTGCACGCTGAAAAATCCAGGCTGTTGCATCAAGCCGGGGGTCATAACTGCGCGGCCCCCCCTGTAGCCCTACCGCGCCTCCCCATCCTCAAAAGGCAGCCCAAGCAGGCAGCCACGCCCATCAACATTTTGGATTGCCTGGCGGCGTTGAACACCAGGCGGGATAAGCGGCCAGGCAGCGTGGACGGCACGCCCAACCCCCTCCGCACCAATTTCGCCGTCGTAAAGACGTCCAAGTATCGCAGCAGCATGTACAACAGGGCCACGATGACGCCCAAATTGGCAATGTACACAAGGATGGACAGCAGCGTCTCCGCCACGGTCGACGTGTTCTCGTCGTTGAACACGATCCCGGAGTAGAACGTCAGGATGGACACGAGTATGGAGAACCCCTCCGCCAGGTTGAGGGCGTCGTACTTAAACGGCAGGGCAACTGTGTGGACGACCAGCGCCACAATGAGCAGGCCCAGGGCCATGATGCCCTGCAAGTTGGACCCTGCCTCGTAGCCGAACACCACGACCGCGCCAACACAGGCCTTTCGGGTCAGAATGACGACTTCCCAGTAAACATGCGTCTCCGTGTAGTTTTGGTAGACGAAGCCGAACGAATTGAGGAATTTGGGGTCGGTGAGGCGACCCTGGCGCCGGGCCCTCAGGAGAACAAACAGCAGGACGGCGGGGACACCGAGGGAGAAGGCCAACAGGCCAGGCACGCCCAACAGAAAGGCCAGCAGGGCGTGGTCGCCATTGAAGCACACCTCGGCGGTGTCTTCAGCCCAGAATCTGCCCCGCGCGATGGCGAAGCCCCTCAGCTCAGGGACGTCCTTGTTCGGGTCGTCGAGCGTCACGCAGTTCAGCGTGCGCATGAACTCCTCGCTGATGCTGTGGTAGGAGAAGAAGGTGAGGGCAAGGGCGCTGATGACAAGCCTGCTACGCAGGAAGCCGCCGGCCTCCGAGGGGTTTCTCTTGAGCTGGCGTCTGTACAAGGCGAAGATAACGGACGATATGGCGATGTAGATGAGGGCGGGAAAGAAAATGCGGAAGATGGTGCCGCGGATGGAGCGGGGGACGCTGCCGCCCTCGCTCAGTGCGCAGTCCATCGAAAAGAGAGACGAACTGTTGGAGAAGGCCACCAAGGTGTCTGCGCAGGAGGCATGGAGAATCATCAGCGAGTCCCATTCACATGGGAGCACAAGCCGAGTCGAGCCCTCTAAAGCACTTGGCTGCGATGCAATGCTAGGTATATCCGGAATGAAGAAGTCTAGGTCACTTTCTTTTGAATCTGGTGCAATTTTGCCACTTCAGCCAATTGCACCACAAAGCTGGAGCCAGGGAAACTGAAAGACGACTGCACGCCACCATCTCTTCCTTCATCCAAGTGCGCAAGACGGCGCCTATATAAAAATTGCTTTCAACATGTGTTTCCCGATATTGCACACAAGACATAAGGGTTTTCCAAGCATGCTCGCAGCCACAACACCTCGCTCTTTGCCAGTAATATTTTGCTTAACAAACTCACTCTGCATGTTTTCTGCCAGTGGCAACCTCGTGTACATGCAAAACGAACAGGGCATCATGCAAGCAAAATGAACAGCAAGTAGAAATTGTTCCGATACAAAGCTGAACGCCACCAGATATGCGAAATTGGCGACACCAATAGAAACAGGGCTTTCGAGGACAGCTTTGGCAGATAAGCATGGTGAATTCCTGCACGGTAGCTGTAATTTAGTATATTGTATACAGGTCCATTGCATCTGCGACATTTCATCCGTAGATTTCCATAAATTGGATGTCTGCAAGCAATATCATTCGTTGGCAACCCTCTTCATCCTGTCCAGCCGCATTGTCTATATTTCTTCCGCTGCCAGGTCCTTTCCAATTTCATGAAGATGTTGTTCAGCACATGTTCGTCATGCATCTGGCACATGACTGTCCAGAGCATGGGCTGTCCTTGCCAACCACTCCATACAAAGCTGCAGGTGTGCGTTGGGCAGGGAGCCACACACAAGGGCGTGCCACAGCTGCAACCGCGCTGGATATAGCACCAACAGCAGGCAACGCACAGCACGCACCCCACACCCCCAACAGTCTCTTCACTGATGCAGTCCAGTCCGCGTTGATGGTAACTGCGATGCCTGTCACTTGGAGGAAGTTCGTGGCGATCTGTGTGCATCATTCGACCCCTTGTCACTGTCAGTTGCCAGCAATCTGCAAGTTATACACGCTCACCTGAAGGGCAGCCCAGGGCATTGTGCGGTCTGGCTAACCAATGTTTCAAGCAACACGCCAGGAAGCCGTCATTGGGGGCTCATTCCTTGACAAGCAGAGACAAATTTGAGAAACGTTGGGCACACTGGCCGCAGACACGTTGGATGGCGTCCAGGCAGCGTGGAATTGACACACCATTTAGAGGGGCGGCGACAACACAAACCGCAGCAGTGGGCAAAACATTCTGAAAGGAGCACAGTGAAAGACACGAATGCAGTGCTTGGGCCACAGCCCAGAAGACGGGCACCCTGTACCACTGGGGAACTGGCGTCGGAGGGGTCAGGCTTGTGTCCGAATCGATGTTCACCTTCAGGGTTTCAGATATTTTCTCTGCGGCAATAATGTGGATGATGGACACTTCCTGGTCACCAGGCGCACATTCAGCTATGCCCACAGGCAGTGCTGTGGCCTGGGTGCTGCTTCTGTCCAAAATCGACCTTATGGGCTTCCTGCTGTGGCTCATAGATGTGGTAGAGGCAAGGGACGTGGCGGCCCCTCCCTGAAAGTAGCACACACTTTTCAGATGCTTCGTTTTATTACTGCGCCACCATGGCAAGCCTGTCCGAAAAGAAGGCGAATGCTCACAACAAAATGATAGCCCACGCGCTATGTAAATCGCAAAGAAACTTGAGAGACCCTATTACTCCGTAGAGACTGCCAAGGAAGTCAGGAAAAGTACGCCACACAGCAGTACAAACTTGGTGGTCGGGATGGCCTTCGGAGGAGTCCCACCTCAGATTTTGTCTCTGGAGCAGGGACAGACACAGCAATCGTGGCACCTTCAGTCGCAGTGGGCAGGCTTGCAGACTGTTCAGCCTCACTATAGGATCCACGCCCTGCTACACAGGCAAAGAATAAGCAACACTGAGCAACAGGCTCTGGTGCGCAGTCACTAGCCCCGAGCCATTCTTGTGTGGGCTACCCCTTGGTGCAGCAGCAGCGAACAACTTCCTTCTGGGGATAAAACACTTGTACCCTTCCTGCAAGCACAGCATGATCCAAAAAGCACCTGATCTTGTGTTGAAAGAGGTCTTGGTCCATGCCCTTGCCTCTGCAAGGTTTTTGATACTCAACTGTGCACTTCGGATTGCGATAGTTACCAACACTAGGCTCCACAAGAAGATGAGTACAGTGTAGAAGACTGTCAATCCCTGGTCTTCAGTGCACTTGATGCACTCTCCCCCAGGCAGGTGGCCAAACCGTGGTTCACAGGAGGCACAGAGCACACCCTGATACCCCTGGAAGAGGGCAAACCAGGCTCAGTCAGCCACAATGGCACAAACAGTTTGGCTGTAGACTCTGCTGTATGTATCTCGCAGGCCATCATTATCCTGCTTCGTATCAGATTGATTTTGAGATTTGAGAGGCAGGCCACGCACTGTTCACGACCATCACTTTGACTGTGCTGCTGCAGTGCCTCATCGCCATCTGTAACCTATTTCCCGTGCTGCAGGAGACAGCCTGGCAATAGAACCTTTCTGTTTTGTTCAGGAGGGTGACCCCGCTGGTGATGCACTGGCAACAATCCCCAACAAATTTGACTCTATTGTCTGACCTTGCAAAGGCATTGCATTTGGGGTTCAACAACATTGTCTATCCCCATGTCTTATTGACACAGATCAATGAATCTCAAATTTATCTGGGAAAGCAAATCACAGTATCTGTGAAAAACCTGGAACCAAAAGATGTGGCTTCACTCCCTTGCACTTGGCCAACATTCAGCTGGCCTATCATCGGAACGCAAGCATTGAGCATCACAGTTATGGACATTTCGTCAATCAGATGACTGGCTGCTGGAGTCAGTAGAGGCGATCTTGGGCCGATCATGGTATTGGTGCAATTTGGTTTGACGAGCTTGCACAAGACATTCATGCCTTGGATGCTACTCTCATCTTTGGAGCAAGTGTATTTGTCTGGGAGCACGTTGTCTTGGGGCTAAAAAACAGAGTGGCAAAACCTACCCACACATTGTGTTGTTCAGTCCAACACTCTGACAACTGGCACGGCTTTATATTGCTCCATGCAGAATTTGTTGAGTGCTGACACAGTGCATCACAGAAATGCCAACAAGCATATTTGGATCGGAAACCAATTCACCACTGAAGCCACTGTGGTTGGTTCAGTAACCAAACAAGTGGTTTGGATAGTTGTTGTGACTGAGCGTCATGCTCATCTTGCACTGAGACATCACTCGCAACAAGGCAGGCAACGAACAAACCTTTCTGCACTGCTGGTACTCTTCATTGCTGAAGACCTTCATTGTTTCATTGGCTTCCTTGACAACTTCCAACTCAAGACCAACATAGAACTCCCCCAATATTGTGCTCCTCTCTTGTCTTGTCCAATTCCCATCCACCACAGGCTCCAGCACAAAGCTACATGCCTCATGCACCAGGCAGCGATGCAGCTGTGTGGAGAAAGGACTGGAGTGCCAGAAGCCATCCAGAGGGACCAGGGCAGCCCTGCCAGGACAAGTCGCTCGAGAGTCACAATCCCTGCACTCCACCTCGGGGCTAAAGCTGTACTCATTTGCATCACAGACTCTGCACACGTTCACGGCCCCCCTCCTTATGCTCACTTCTCCCGGCCTGCATTTTCTGATGGAAAAATTTGCTGTTACTGGGTCAACGCCCTCAGCACCAAAGCTGAGGGAGTAGGTTCCTGGACTGGTGACCACGCTTATGGCATCGAAAGTTGCGACACCGTTCTCTGCAGAGACCCTCCGTTGCCCAGTCACACAGTCTTTGCCATCCGAACAGTTTCCTGTGGCAGTCACCAGTAGGCCTAAAGTGCAGAAAACAGGTCTGTCAGGAAGCCCACAAAGAGAAAGCTTCTTTGTCACAGCAAAAGACAATGAACAACTTGCAAAACAATGTCTCATATGCAATTTTGAAAGTGCGGTAGCAGGGGCCAGTGCTGTGGAGATGATGGATTGCATTCTTGCAGCACCTGAAAGAGAACAGCAGCACCTACTTGAGTCTGTCACTCCTGCCAGTATCGTTTGATTGTAGGCATCCAGAACTGTCACAGTGACTGTGGGCAAAAATTCGCCCCCAGGATGATCCTTCACAAGAAACCCATTTGTTTGCAAGCCAGAAGAGATGCTGAGCCTGCTGACTGCAGAGGCGATGGATGCCCGCTGCCCAATGTCAGTCATCCCCTCACGGGCCATGGCTAGTGTGGAGAACTTGCTCAGGCGGCCCTGCCAGCACAAACACACACAAATCAGCAATTTTCTGGTTTTGATGTACATCACAAAGCAGCAGTGCGTGTCACAACCTTTGCATCCAAAACACCTGCACACTCTGGACAAAAAGCTGTGCAGCCTTTCACTGGAGAGAAATGCTGGCCATTGCTCAGCATGACTGGTTGCTGGGCAGGTACAAATACAGTGCCAGCCATCCAGGGCAGAGTAGGCTGTCCCTTGGAATTTTGGTTTATTTGATTTATTGTATTTTCTGTCGGTAAGTTGCAGTCTATTCTCTTGCTCACGGGGCAATGCCTGGCGGTTCCATGATGTTTGTTGCCTGTGTGCTTTGTCTATCTTTCAACCATTCCTCATTTTGACAAGTGATTCCTCTCCATTTGCTGGCTCGGGATCTGGGACAGTTCTCTGGACAACTGCTGTTGTGGTTGCCAGGAGGACCACTGCACTGCCCAACAAATCTTGCTACTGCAAGTTTCCAAATGCAACGAAATGCTCGGGTAATGGCAACTTGACACTGCAGCCACATCATATGCAGCTGACATGCGACCACACCAAGGCAGCACTTCCTTTCAACATTCCACAGCTGTGATACTAGTGGGTGCAAAATGCCAGCTCATTGTATCAAGTCGATTTTGAGGGGAATCTTGATTACAATAACAGACACTGGCAGTTTCAATGGGTTGTTGGGCATCAAGTCAACAGCATGTCCTGCCAGCAAGGAGAGCAAAGCATGCCCTCGAAATGTGCTGCCCACCTTGTCTGCAATCCACACATCATGCGGATAACTTGCAAAAATGTCGCTGCCACTGTTCTCTGCTGCATTGTTAGTGAAATTCAAATCTTGCAGGCCCAGCTCCCTGCACGCCATGGTTGCAAAGCCATCGGAATCTCCAGTGGCCATGCCGCACGTGTTTGGTGCCCTCCATGATGCTCCTCTTGCAGTCCCAATAAACAAACCACCTACAGTATGTTTCGCATCCATGAGGAAGACATGCTGCCAGCAATGGGTGCCTATCACCTTATGCTGCCAGGCGGGGGCCAATGGAATGGTGGAGGTACAGCCCAATGCCAGTACACACCCACAGCACAATCCATTCATAACGCCATCATACACTTCCCACAGCAGTCAATTCAGTGACCTTGCAGCAACGATGCCAGATCACGATGATTAACTTTCAATCAATGAATTCTGTGACAAGACGGGCCCCCAGAACCAAGCCTGGTGACATTTACATAACATGTCATCGAGCCCTCTCAGTCAATCAGCCTGTTTGCCTTCGAAACGTTTGAGTGCCATAAAATGTTGTGCATGCCTCAGAACATCCATGACGAAGCTCTCCCCTCTTCTGTGCAAAGGCGATCAGGGACAAACAACACCAGCCCTCAAGAATACAGAACTAACACGCAGACATACAGGAAAGCAATTGAGAACGAGAAGCATTGTGCCCACGGATGCCCAGGAACGCAACTGAAGGCGATGATGGTGAAACCCACACGTGCATGACCCACCTCCAGTGGAGGCACTGTTATCAGCGAATCTGGATTCCTTTATATCCACGACGATGGTCACCCTCTCCGCAATGCGTGTGAGAGCCAAGCAGATTGCACCTCCACCGCCAGGTGTGCAGGGATTGTCAGCTGCAGTATCTATGCTGTCCATCAGCTCAGAGGCACTTTGAGCTGGCTTGGACACACCAGGGTTCCTCCTGGGAAATGATACCAGCTCGAAACCAACCGCTTCCAGCGTGCCTACCACTGTGTTGTGCTCAAATTGTGTTCGGGAGATCTCCAGATTGTTTGCAACAGGGTGGCGAAGTTGAGCATAAACTGCCCCTCCGGCAAGGGCTGAGTTTTTAGTGAGATTTGAAAAGGCGTTGGTCGCCCCATTTATCCTGAATTTGGCAACACTGTCCACATGGACGGCCCCTCCAAACTTGGCCAAATTTGAGATAAAGTTGGCATTCAGGAAGCTCACTATTCCACTGGCAAGGGACTGGACCGCAGCGACTCCACCACCATTCCCTTGCGCTTCGTTTCGTACAATCTGGGCTGCCTGCAAGGTCACCTGGCCTGCATACAAGAGGCAGTGATACAGTTGGATGCTACACCAGTACAGCTACAAATGCACCAAGGTACCATCATGTGCCATTCACAGTCAATGAACCATCTCTGCACATGACAGAAGCTGCGGCCACAATCTCTTGTCTGTGTTGAGGGTACTACCTTCGCATAAGATGCAAGGTGGCATCATATCCAACACATGGGCCTAGGTATCTACTGCAGTCAGTTTCGTGTGACATGTGCAAAAGTTCTGTCTGCTTCAGTTATTAATCTCTGTTCATCCTCTTTGGGCATCACAGGATACAAATGTACAAAATTCACAACAAGAAAGATGCACAAAGAAAAGAAAACATGATTAAACAAATGTACTTGCCTGCACCTACTAGAAAAAGGCCCCCTCCATCGAGCGCAACATTCTCTGCAAAGATTAAGTCTTTGCTGCCAAAGACACCAGCACCATTTGCCAGCATAATGCCACCACCCATCCTGGCACCGTTCCCTGTAACATTCAACTCAATCCATTCCATGCTCTCCGTGTTTCGAAATACAGCTGCACCCCCACCCAGCCACGCTACATTGTCGCTCAGGATGCAATCCTCCATTCTGAGAGTGGCCTTCACAGCCGTGACGGTGTGCAGACCGCCACCATAGCTTGCAGTGTTGTTCCTGAAAGTGTCACGCACGAATTCGTGTACGCTTTCGTCCTTTTGGGACGTCATATATATTGCCCCACCCTGGGCCAGGCCCTGCAGGTCGCCCTCACCTTCCCTTGCCTCATTGTTTCTGAATGTGCTCCCAGACACCAGCACCTGCATGTTGTCCAACAGTGTGAGTGCACCCCCAGCTGGTGCTGCAAAATTGGATTCGAAAATCGATTCGCTGATCCTCACTTTTGTGAACTGCTGTGCAAACACCGCACCGCCACCTGACTTGGCTGGCCCATTGAAATTAACAAAATTCGATGGTTCGAGTGGCCTGGAATCAGTTGAAAACACGCTCACTCCACCTGGAAGTGCGCCCTGGCTCAAAGGGTCCCTGTTGCCAGTGAAATTGCAGCCCTCGATTATTAATGAAGTTTCACTTGGCGCGGTGCTGGCATCGGCACTGATGGCGCCGCCAGTCAGCCTGGCAGTGTTGCCAAGGAACAGACTGCCCAGAACAGTGAGATTAGAATTGAATGCAGATATTCCGCCCCCGATGCTCCACCCATTCCCCTCAAAAGCGCAGTTGGTGACATTCACACTGGCGCCATCGACGCTAAGGCCACCCCCTCCTGTCTGTCCAAAGGCGCTGCTGTTTGAGTCATTGTTGTCTTTGAATGTGACATTTCTGACCTCCACGCTGATCAGACTCCTGTTTTCTTCAGGAGGTTTGATGATCCTGATGGCGGTGCTCGTGCAGTTTCGTATGGTGAAATTGCTGAGCTTTGCACCACTGGCCCTGGAAGAAGTACAAGAGAGTTCATGATCAGGATTCCTTTCTGAAGTGTCAAATGCGCAACTGCCAGTGGGTTCCAACTATAAAGATATTAATTATATGAGAATTTGCACCCAAAACATACAGTATTCATCAGTGACTGATGCATGCATGTCTGACAGAGCAATGAACATGCCACCAATTTAATCCTGTTCCTGCTTTGTACAAAAATAAAACCACACAAAACCACACAAGCCACCAGCATGTGATGGTCCAAAAGAGGGGTGTGCCATAAAATTGACAGAATGTTGGTTGTTCGCTAAGTGCTCAGTCTCTTAATTTGCTCTCGTTCCCTCAGCAGGTCCTGCACATTGTGCACTCAAAGGCATCGAACCCAACCAACCCAAACAGCAATGAACAGTGTTTAAGGAGCATTGTTTTGGAAAGGGTCGCTCACTTCACATCCCCATTGACGAACAGGCCCAAGCTCACAGCAACCGCCGCATACAGTCAGTGCAAAAACCGTCTTCGCACTAAAGGAAAAGAATGCAATCAATAAATCCATTAGTTCATGCCCCCGGTGGGCTCCCTGTTCGCCAACCCCTCTACACACCTGACTTCCAGGGCGGCATCGCCGCTGACACACAAGACAGTCGGGCCATCCTCCCTTCCCGCCACGACGCCCGTCACCAGCACATTGGGCACATCCACCCTTAACACGCCATCAATCTCTATCCTCTCCGCATCCAGTATCACCTCCGCGCCCGCCGTGAGATTGCTGAACAAGTCCAAAACGCCGCCCGCGGTCGTGTTGGAGTCCACCCGGACTTGCGTACCTTTGCCCTGGAGCAGTCGTCTGCCTGATCGGCCCACAGCAAACCCACACTCGCCCCGGGGCCGAAATGGACAACTTCTGGTTCGCACGCTCCGTGTTGTCTGACGAACGGTAACAGCAATGACGGCACCCACACAAGGGCACGAGGGAAGGATCAATGAGTAATTCAGTCGCGCTACGCAGGCGAAGCGGAAGTCCGGCCTACACGACGGCGCCGTCGCAAGTTGCCCTAGCGCTGGCACCTGTGCGTGGCGGGATCACTTCGCCGGGGCCCATCGGCGTCGGTGGAAGATTGTGCGTGCACAGCCGAGCCCTTCTCCTAGAACAATTGTCCACACCACTTCCTGTGCCTGCTTGTGTGTTGCGTCGCCCTCCTTGCACTCGACCACACAGCAAGGAAACGAGATTCGCAGCCCGGGAGGGCCTATGACATTTTCTTACAGAGCTTATCTTCACCTGGCAGTTCGCTTTCAGTCACCCGGTCCCGGCAGGCTGTCAGAGCGATCAAGGCCAGGGCCAGCAGGGCCCGGCACAGCATGCGTATTCGAAACGGTGCCTTTCTGGAAGGGAGGCTCTTCGTTGCGACGGCGCGGTCGAGGGCCTCCCCTTGCCATCGGTGGCCAGCGCTCTGGGAACGTGGACCAAAGAAAGCATGGCCTAAGAGTGCACGGCAATACATTACTGAAGTACCTTTGCCTAATATGTTGAAGGTAGCCCAAGGAGGCCGGGGGAGGGATGAAGGGAGAACAGACGTTGTGGGCGGGTGGGGTCCCTGCGAACGTGGCAGGCAGGGCCAGGGAATAGCAATGGTTGGGAAGTTCGGGCAGTTTGGACAGTTTTCGGTGATTTGGCGTAGGGCCAGCCAAGAATAGCTAGGCTGTTCGGTTGCTAGAAATTAGTAGGTTGGCCACATGTGCAAGCTTGGCGGAGCAGAAATAAAGAACATGCAGTGCTGTGTATGGCCATGAATGAAAACAGTCAATTTGCAATGTGCTAGACCAGCCTTGGAACACAAATTGAGGGCATCGTGACCAAAACAACCACGCGATTTCGAAGGTTAGTGCAACAGCAGGGCACCAACTCCGTGGCCTGCCAGGCTTGGCCATACACAAGGTGTTGCTTGTGCAGTGAATGGGCAAACATGTGTGCATGGTGATGATACACCAGACCAACCAGTTCATCAACCATCATTTTACACTGATCTCACTACTCTGGAACACCATTGTCCACAGCCCTGCAGCGCCAATTCCACGAAGGCACAGGATCGCCACGTGCAGCAGTCCTATGCTCACATCCGCGAGCACTTCTCGCCCACCGTCGCCATGCAGGTGCACAGGCGTTGTGTGAAACGTTTGGGAAGTGGAATGACTCTACTCCCATGCGACAGGCTGACCACCTTTCTGCTGTCTGCCTGCCGCTGCTGATTCTATCTTCGCCCCGACTCGAACTGCATCCTTGACCTGGAAGAGTGGTGACCCCTCGATGACAGCTCCTCATAGGAGCTGCCTGCAGCAGCCTTCATTCCCCCCCTCCTGCCTATGTCATCCAGTGGCTTTGGCCTTGAGCTAGCCTTCACAGTGGTGACAAAATCTTCCAGGCCAAAAGGATCTGCCTCAAACTCCACAGGTCCCTCATGCCCACCGCGTTCAGCTGTCGGCTCCTCAGTGCCTTGGAAGGCATTGTCCGCCCTGAAGCGGTCAGTCCTGGTGCCTTCCTTGCCATGCCCCCCATACACATCATCATCCTGTGTGGCCCTTGGTCTGTACAAGCCCTTTGCCCGATCAGCAAACAGCCCCCCCTCATAGACATTGTATGAGTCGTCGGCCCCAAAGCCAGAGGCCATCCCCTTGTCCTGGTTGAACAAACGGGTGTCATAGAGCGCCTCCCCGCTGCTGCCACCAACATGCGCCATTCCCAACGCCACCTTCTCAGTAACATCCCTCTCGCGGTCCCGTGTCGTCTTGCTCTTCTTCCCCAGCCTCGAGTCGCGCTCCTCGAGGCGCCGCTCCCTCTCTCTCTCCCGCCTCCGCTCCTCCCTGATGTCATCCCGCCGTCTGCGCTCCTCCCTCTCCTCCCGGGTCTCCCTCACGGGCGGCTCAGCATCATTCCTGGTCGCCAATCCCGGCGCTCCAGAGGCCTCCACTCGGGCGCTGAGCGGCACCCCGCCGTGTTCCAACCGCGCCCGCTGGGCCAGCTCCCTCAGCTCCCGCTCCTTTTTCTCCTTTTCCCTGGCCATGAGCTCCTTCTGCACCTTGTTGCGCATGTGGAGGGCCTCCCTGGCCTTGTGCTCCGCAGAGTACAGCGCCTCGGTGAATGCTGCAAACTTGTCGCTGACGGCGGTCTCCTGTAGCCCGCGCCCGTCCGCTGCCAGCCGCTTGTCCAGCGGGATGGTGTACCCTTTGGCGTTCTTCCAGTTGCTCACGCAGGGCGGAATCTTCCAATCCTGCTGGTCCTTGACAGTCACCGGCCGAGGGGGGGAGTGCATGATCGGCACAGGCGGCTCTCCCGGCCCCACGGGCACCTTCTTGTGCCTGAACTTGGGAGGCTCCAGGGGATCGCTGGGCATGTCCTGCAGCTTGATGATCCGCTGCTTGGCGCCGGAGTTGAACTGGGGACCGCTCTGCGAGGGCGTGTACTTGATATACTGCGGCGCCGAGGGCCGGGGGCCCAGCGTCTTGGGCTGCGCCGCCGAGATCTTGGCCTCTACCACCCGCTGCAGCGCCTCCCACGTGTCCTTCACCGTCTCCTGCTCCGCGTCCGCCCCCGGCCTCTCAAGGCCCTCCCCGCTCGCCAATGCGTCCACCTTGGGCAGCAGCTCCGCGTGCGACGCCGCCACCACCTTTTTCCCATTCGACCCCTGCCGCACGATCGCGTCGTAGCTCACCTCGCCGTCCGCCCCCACCGTTACGCTCAGCGTCTTGCCCGCGCCACCGGCCCCGTCCCGCCGGCCCATCTCCAGCGGGTACTGCGCCACATGCACCTCCGGGAACGCCCCGCCATCGCCGAAATCTTCCGGGCAGCGCGGGATGAACCCTTTGCGTCGCAGGTACGGCGGGGGCTCGCGCCCGGGCGCGCCGGTCGCGGCCTGGTCGGCGGAATCGCCGCTCGCGCCCTTAGCTGCCGGCTTGGCCAAGGGGACGTGCGCCGGGGCGGGGAGCGAGTGCAGGAGGGACATGCGCCCCCGGCCGCCCCGCGGGGCGCTCCTGCGAGGCCTCCTGGCCGCCTGTGGGCTCGTGGGTGGGCGCGCTCCGTGGGGGGTTGGCCGCCAGGAGGGTCGTCGAGGAGGAGTGGTTGGCGCGGCAACGGAAGTCGGAGAATTTCTCTGCGGGCTGCGGGAGAAAAAAATGTTTTCTGCTCAGGGGAACCCCTCCCTAGTGATGGGTCTGAAAGTTGTCGGATTCTGCGGCAGAAAACCGCTCATTTCTTTCCTTTGGGGAAGTGGTGAAGAACCGCGCACGACCATTGGCCACAAAGGTGCGTCCTTTGGAGGCGCCCAAGGCGAAAAGGGGGCCCTGTGTCCTCCAAAGACGCGCCTGCTCAGTTTCCGATCTCCCGAGGCTCACTGCCTCGTTCAGCGATGCCGCTCCCGGCGTCAGGGCCATGGACAAGGGCGGGAATGCGGGCGCCGACTGATGACGCGTGGTCCAGGCAGTTGCGAGGCAGACATTGCCTTCTTTGAGGCAGCGGCGGTCAGCGGAGGTTCGACGTTTTGGACAGGCATTTTGGTTGTCGATTAGCCAAGGATTGCAGTGAAAGTCTCCTGCCTGTCCGGCAATCCGCTCGTGGAGCACCTCGAGGGATGGGAAGAGCTCCCTGTTGCAGTGGGTGAACAACGCCTGCGAGGACTACACGCCTTGCGTTTAAGACATCTGCAGGAGGATCAACCCGCTGTTGGGCATTGGCTGCTCACAATCCCCTGTGCCAAAGTTTGTCATTTCTGATGAAAGGAAGCGTACTGCACAGCGATTAACCCCTCTTTGGCTCAGATTGTTGGGAGACTCTTTCTGTACCGGAGGCGTTGATGCAGAAAATAACCTCCAGGTGCAACAGCAATGGCTTGTAGCACAGAGTTGCACGAATAACAGAGAGGCAAGCATTTTGTTGGCTAACAAGGTATATATCCTTGCAGGAAAGATCTGCACCAAAATTGCGACTCTGATTTCCAGGGGATAGATAATGCAGGCACCACCATGTGAAACACTGCATCAACGTGGTGCTCACCAAGGCAGGCGAACATCTGTGTGACCTCTGGAAATGGTCGTTCTCCACAACGATCTGTACAACCTGCTCGATTGTGCCTTCCCAATGTGCCCTTCTGCAAGTTGCGTTGCCATGTGTTATGGGTATGTCCGTTCGAATCGGCGAAAACTGTTGCTGGCGTGGCGAAGATTGTGCTTTGATGGTCTGTGTTGTAGTATGACTGTGCTCTCTCCAACAAAAGTTGTCCTTAGATGGAAAGATGGGAAGAAAGTCTTGGATCCAGAGACGGAAGTGACGCCGAAAGCTTGGATGCTTATTGTGTCGTCGCGACAACTCCACATGACTTCAGCTAGAGTTGAAAACTGATGACTCCTGCAGTGTGCCCAATATACGTACTTTCTGTTTGTGGATCGTATTTTGGATCGTATGAATCGTATTCAAGAGTGAGGTGCTCCTCCCCTCCTTTTGACACCTACAAGAAGAGGACACAAGGGCAAACCTTGGCTGTTTGGCAGTCAAAGGGAGCAAACAGATGTGAGGTAAGTGATTTTTCTGTCTTTGATCAATGTATTTGCGACAACACAGAACTACAGAAATTTGCCTTTGTTGGAGAATATGGGGGAGCCATACACATTGGCAAACAGTCGATTGGGCGAAGTGGGAGCATGTAAACTGGGTACTGGCAGTTTCGGACTTGTGCTATGCTTTGCGCAAGCATGCCATTATAGTAAGGATGATGATTGATTTATGCAAGTTGGTGCTCCTGCTTGTTATCCGCATCCTGCCCATGCATTTTGCTATCATTACGAGTATTTTAGCCCTTCCCAGCTGACTTGAAGCTGAAGTGGGTTTGAGTTTTGATGACCGCTCAGTCCCTGTGTCATGAGGGCTGGACTGGACCACCTGCAAACGAGATCAGAAGGCGCCAGCATCCAGTCTGTACCTGGGCAGAACTGTACAACCATTTGTGGCTGGGCCGCCCCCGAAACACAGTTGTGGTGGCCCGAAAATAATTTGCAATCTGGGAGGAAGATCAACCAGCTTGTGCCAGAGTCGCCATGGGAAATGGTCAGCAAGAATCCAATGCCACTTTTGCACCCTTGAATTGAGCTGGCAGTGCTAAACATTCTGCATGGAGCCGTATGAAAGCCTAGTCACAAGCAAAGCAATGGGTCCATCAGTGTATCAGGCAGGGCTATGCCATAAGTTCCATGCAGATGGCCAGACCAAGAACAACGCAAGGAACGCATCGTCAGAACTTCGCAATAGCATTGCGCGGTGAATGACAACATGATTGTCTCGCGTTGCATATCTCAACCCAATTGCTCGTGGTCGATGGAAAGGAAAAGAATTCGAGCGTTGCAAACAACTCAGCAACACAAGGACTGTAATTTGCCACGTGTGGGCTTGATGAATGATGTCAGCCCCACAGAGATCGAAGGCTTGCTGACAGAAGCGCATGGCTTGAAGTGACGAGCTTGAAGAAAGCAAAATGGAGACGAAAGGAAACTCTAGGAGAAATGTGCACAATCATGGCATGGTTCAAGCATCATTCATGGAAGCATGGAAAGAACATGCAAGTACATGTTGGTGCCCCAAAATTCCACCGAAGAGGTGAACGCACAGTGCCAGGCTTGTGGGCAGGGCGATCGAAGTGGGCACAACTTCTGAGACAATATATATTTTTGTCTACGGGCGCAGTGGCAGCCTTGTGCTTTGCTGGGTTCGTAGCTCAGATGGTAGAGCGCCCGCTTCGCATGCGGGAGGTACGGGGATCGATGCCCCGCGGATCCACACGTTTTTCGCAATCTTCTTCTCTGCCCCGGCGTTAATATCTCCCACACTCACAGGCGCAATGGTGGGGCCCCCGCCTCCACTGCCGCGAGTCCCTTCCCCCCGACCACCTGCGCAGCGCCTGACAGTGGTGCGGCGGAGGCCCAAGCTGCAGAAAAAAGGCGCCGTCAAATTGCGGCAGTGGGCGACACGGGCGCTGGTGTGGCGCCCGCCGAGGATTCAGGTACCTTGCGGGACAACGTCGCCAGCCACGCCTGCCCCACCGGTGGCTGCCCTTCGGCGCCCACCACCAACGGGAGGGGGGATTACCAACCGCCTTGTCGACCGTCGTAATGGCGCGCTACGACCAACGGAGGCACTAAACCCACTGCCTTCCCTACTCTGCATCGAGAATTTGTGATGAGTGTTCCCCCGGATCAATGGCGTCCCAGGGATCGGCGATCCCCGGCTCGCCACCCGCCCGCCCCACAAGACAGTTGCCCTAGGCTGCGAAATCTTGGCGGCCTTTGCACCACCAAAGCCCTGAGTTTCCTCCGTGTACTTTGCGCCCCGCATCCTCGCGATCGGGACCCATTGGCGAGGACCGTGTCCCGCGGCCCGGCCCCCCGCCCGTACAACTCCATCTCGCCACCAGCAATTTCACGGCCGCCTCCGCCCGCCGTTGGAACCACACCCAGCCGCCGGTTGCCCGACTGAGTCTGACCGGGCGCTGACTCACAGCTGCCAGGCCGCCCAGTACATGAGGGCCCCATCGGATCAAATGGCCGAATTGCGCAAGTCAGCATTGTGACAGTTTTCACACGGAGCCGGGGGCCACAGCCGTTCGTTGTGCCCCTCAGGAGTGCCTCACGTCGGTGCACGGGCGTGCCAGCGGTCCACCTCGAGCGTTTGCCCACCCGGGAGCGACCAAGCCACCAGGCGCGACACAAGGGCCTCCCAACGAGGCCCGGGGAGCATCCGGCGCCGCCGGGAGTCAACCTAGGTCAAGACGGAGAAGCCCCCCAGCGGGCGCCTTGCTCATGCCCGCCGCCCTTATCTGAACATTCCCGCCCTTTCGACGGGGGGGATTGGCGAATTGGAAGGTGAGGGGCGGAGGGGTGGGGGAATGGGGAAGAGGGGGGCCGGGGGGGGCAGGGCCTTCCGGGTGGCCAGATGGCGTTGGCGGCTTGGGGGTGCCGTTGCCGCGCCGAGGCACGAGTTTTCGATCCGACGAGGGGAAATAAACCGCGTCGGGAAGCGCCGAGGAGCCGCCGCGGAGCCGCCGCTTGGCGCCGGGGAGTGGGGGGCGTGGCGCGGCGGGGCAGTTATGTCTGGCCGCGGGCGCGGCGTGCGGGGTTGGGCGGGAAGCCAGCGGGAAGGGAGGGGCGGCTTGGGCGGAGGATTGGCAGGCGGGAGTGGTCGGCGAGGTGCTGGGCCATTTTGAGGGCCGGAGGGGCTGGGGAGTGCCGGGGGGGGGGAGGGGGGGATTTATGGCCAGGCTTTCGGGTCCTTGGCGCTGGGAGGGGCGAGCCTGAGCGGAGTTGTGAGTCGACGATGTCAGGTGTTTGTCCCGCGCTACCCGTTGGGTAGGATGGGGGCGCTTGGGCTGGCGCAGGGGGCTGAGGCTGTGCGTCATGTTTTGGACAGGTTTTGGACGAGCGGATGGTGTGGGAAGACAATGCCTGCTCAGTGAAAGAACCCTGAGCTCCTGTTCAGGAGTCTGTCGTTGCGGCTCGAAGCATAGCGGAATAGGCTTCTTGGACAACGGCTGAACGGAAGCCAAAATGGCTGGCGGTGGAAAACAATCTTACGGTGGTGAGTGTCAACGCGGGCCGGCCGGCTCCCGCCATGGTTGGCTCGCTGCGCTTGTGTTTGCGCCCACGACTTGGAGCGACCCATTCGCCTTGCCATCCGGGCGGTTGTTCGGCCGCGCTCGCCCAGCATGGGGGCCTGCCGCCTGGCGCTCGTCGAGGGGAACCTCCAGCCGGTCACCGCGGGATTGGCCTTTAGATACGGGTACAAATGGCGGCGCATGCGCACAGAGCCTCACACCGCGGCCTCGCGCGGACCCCTGCGCTCGTGGTTCGAAGGCGGCGGCTTCTCGACGGGACGCGGGTGGCGCGGGCAGCGACAAACTCAGTCCTGGGCGGCTTCCGCGACGCAGAACTCCGAGCCGAAAGGTCGGCGTCCTGGCCCGCGCTCCCGCCCCTTTTTCTTGCCGAGAAACCATTTTTACCCGGGGGGACGCACCGCGGCCCAACCCCCCATGTGTGACGCTGCCCGACAGAGGGACCGTCGCTCGGGAAGCAGGGTTTTAAACAGGGAACCGGTGGCCCTGGCGTTGTGATGCAGGCGTGCAGGTCGACAGCCGCCCCTCCAGCGACCCGCCGATCGCCGGCGGCTCCGTCTACAGCGCCTTCGGCGCCCCATCCGTCCAGCGCCCGCCCGCGCGGTCGCAGTCCCCACAGCCCAGCAGGTCCTCCACCTCAGAGTTCCTGAGGTCGGGATGCCAGCAGCAGCGCCCCATTCCCGGCCTGTCCTACTCCGTGCCGCTGCAGCCCGAGGCGGAGTCCTGCGCCCCCATCCGCGTGGGGCCCACCCAGTCCAGCTGCCCCCCCCATGGCGCCAAGGCCGTCTGCGGCAGGCGGTCCAAGATGGAGGACGCCTACGCCATCCGGGACGACCTGTTCCAGGCGCGCGACCTCAACCTGGAGACCATGCTGCCTCCCCAGCTGCCCAAGAAGCACTCGCTGCCCCTGGGCGCCGCGCTGGAGGGCCACAGCGGCATGGAGCGTTCACAGGACAGCGACGACATTAACAACAACATTAACAACAAGAACGGAACGGAGGCGGCATCCTCGCCGGATGCGTCCAGCGACTCGCTGCACTTCTTCGGCGTGTTCGACGGGCACGGGGGCGTGGAGGCGGCCAGGCACTGCGCGGACCGGCTGCACCAGAACCTGCACGACGCCTGGAAGCGCCGGTTCCGGCCCGCGGCCGCGCCGCCCAAGCCACCGCGGTTTGGCAAGAGTGGCCACTCCAAGGCGGCGCACGCGGACCGGGACCACGCGCACACGGGGGAGGCCCCGGCGGTGCTGAGCCACGCCACCTCCCACGACATCAAGGGCGTCTTCGCCGACGCCTTTCACCAGACGGACGACGAGTTCAGGCACGAGGACGTGTCCGCGCTGGTGGGCAGCACGGCCGTGATCGTGCTGGTCGGCCAGCGGTACTACCTCGTCGCTAACTGCGGTGAGACTGCCTGCCCTCCTGCCCCCGCTGCAGCTGTGGCCTGTCTGATTCCAGAGGCTACAGGAAGTTGATCTTCGTCAGAGTTCGGGCAGTTGGTTTGTCGCTTCCAAGCCGAAGCATAGGGGTTTGCAACCCCTATGAGTGTCCTGCGTCCTGTCTCCACAATTGTGGCTGTGCATCCCAGATTTTATAGAAATTATCAAGCAAAATCTCCAGCTGGCAGATCAGCTCCCCCCCTTCTGTGTCCTCCCATGCGACTCCAAAGCGTTATTAAAATTGTAGCCATGTATTACAGGGGGCCATTTGTTTTGCCGATTCTCCTGGAGCCCAATGCATGTCATGGACCCTGATTGGCTTGCACGGGTCTCTAGGTGACTCTCGAGCTGTCCTCTGCCGCGCTGGGCAGGCACATCCACTCACAGTCGATCACAAGCCTGAGCGAGAGGATGAGATGGTGAGTGGCAATGGGCTGTGCAGGCTAGCTTCCCTATGTCTATGCTTTGTGTCTGAATTTCGTAGCAAGTCCTGCTGCGCATGCGTGTTCCCTTAGGTTTGTGTGCCTGACTGCTACGTTCTGAGTGTTGAAACCACACTGGTCAGATTGCTAACCAGCTGTGGCATAACCTGGTTGTGATCACATGCTGGGATAGGCAAACCTGTAGTAGGTTGCTTCCTTCTGTTATGGCTTATTTATTTGAAGGAAGAGTAAGAGTACAGTCAGCTCTGTCCAAAGGAAGCAGTGTATCCATGACCTTCACATGTTGGCAGTGTTTTAAAGTATGTCTGAATTCACCCTATCGGGTTAAACTGCCTGGTGTGCCTTGCCTGCCGTTGTGTGGCTGCCCCCTCCCCGCTTAAGGCTTGTTTTATCCACACTGTCTTTGCTTGGTCTCAAATCAGCACCCTGTATTGTCACCTAGGCTCGTGTGGAGAAAGCTGGAGGCCAGGTGTGGTTTTGGAATGGAGCGCGAGTGATGGGTGTGCTGGCGATGTCGCGAGCAATCGGCGACCGCTCTCTGCGTCCATACGTCATCCCCGATCCAGAGGTCACCATTGTCCCTCGGACCACGGACGACACACTCATCATTATCGCCACCGATGGGCTGTGGGACGTGGTGAGCGATCAAGAGGCGTGCACACTAGCTATGAAGTGCCTTGACCGCGCACAACAGAAAGGCGCCACAGACTCTGATGCCGCTCGCCTCACGGCCACAGTGCTCATTAGGGCGGCCATGGACAGGGGCAGTAGGGACAACATTACGGTTGTTGTCATCGACTTGAGGGCATCGAAGAGGGCCCGTGTGTCCTCTGACACTGTGGGTCAGGAGTGCTTAAGCCCGGTGCAGATTCCTCATGGACCACACGGTGGCAGCCTGTCTGACAGGTCGCACTGTCCAGAAGTGAAGGAGAGGATACCCAAGGGGTCCAGGACCGAGCGATTCATTGCGCAGTAGAGATGGTGGTGTATGGATTGGGCCTGCTCCTGTGCCGGCTTGTTGTGTTTCAGTGGGACTGCCTCGTTTGCGCGGTTGCCCTCCCTCGTGGGGGCTGTCCACGTCGTGCATCCAGCATTCGGATACTGCGTTCCTCTGGAAAGAGTGTTGTGTGTGAGAAGAGTGAGCAGGAGGACGTGATCTGTACTTCTCTCGATTTGTGTGACCGCAGACGGGAAGGGAACTCAGCGTGACTATCGCCACGCCCCGCTCCCCGAGGCGATCTTCCTTTCTAGCTGGCCCTCCGGCCTTGACACACGTTTTTCGGACGAGGCTTGCGGGTCTGCGCATCCAGCTGAAGTGTGCACAGATTCGCGCTTGTTTCCGTAGGCAGTCTTTTTTAATTTCCCAAGGTGTTCTTTTGGGGATGTCAGAGGTTCGAGGGGTGAGGTCGAGGCGTTGCAGAAGGCGCGTGTTTGGGTTGCCCTGCTGGGTGGCCCAAACCGGAGGACCCATGTGCTGATGTCGTGACGACATCAGAGGCGTGGGGGTGTGGGGTGTGGGGTGGGGGGTGGGGCCAGGTGACCGTACCTCTAATTACGAGCGCAAGGGCGTTCCTGCGGTTGGGCAGGTGCGCAGCTTGGAGTGAAGAAAAACGCACTAGCCTCGGATGTTGGGGAGGGGGTGGGACGCTGGGGGCAATAATTGCTTCTATTCTTAAGACTCCCCTTGCAAACCGGTGCAGGGCACCGGGGTGCTCGTAGGAGGCGACCGTCATCATCAGCGAACGAGTGTGGGCAAATCAGTTGAAACGTGTAATGGGAACTAGGGAGCCAAAGAGGCCCCACGATTTTTGACGATGTTAATGGGTTTCTTGCTGAAGGAACCGCCTCTCTTGGTTTTGCACTCTTAACTCCAGTTGGGAGTCGTGCCATCTGTGTGTGTGTGTGGAACGATCGAATCCGAGTTGCCCATGGATTTGTCCAGGCGCTGGACTTGGCTGGCACGACAACATTTTGCGAGTGACGGGCACTAAAGTAGAGTTTTTGTTCCTGGCACGGAATGGGCGCGACCGCTCTGCTTCGATTGCGCCCTCTAGTGTACTGGCAGCCATTGCAAGTGCATTGATTGGCGGACGCTGGTCGACAGCTTGAAAAATCTCCAGTATTGGTGGTCGCCATCGTGCATCATTTCATCCCCAGGTGCCACCATATTCCTGGCAGCATGATACTGGGAAGGGCACCAGTTCTCTCTGGAAGCTTGGTGCACGGCTGTGTCACTATGTACTGGCACATGTCTCATCGGGGCGAGATGCACGGGCGTCCCACCCCGCGACCAGTCGTTCAACTTCCTGTTGCCCTCGCCTGAATGTGACACCCTTGCTGGTGCGCAGCAACGTTAAGGTTCACATTGAATGTCCGCGTAGTGAATTCTTCGGGGCTTTGCCTTGCATCTGTTGGTACCCATGCCATGACGTAGCATGAACTAGGTGGCAGCTCAGGTAGGGGCGTGCTGTTCTACAAATCCGCGGCCAGGCCCAGGCCGAAAAGCGAAAGTGCGTTGTGGCAGTGCTGGAGGGCATGATCGGAAACGAATACTGTTGAGGAGACCGGGAGAGCGTACCTCTGGAGGAGGGGCAGAGTCGCAAACAAACACGGTTGGTGCGACAGGAACCCGCACTGTGCGCGTTCCAGCGCAAATGTGATGCAAACAGAATGAAGGGCAGTGGTGCGTGCCTTCCGCTGGGGTGCAAACTCGGGTATTTTTAAATCACCGCTGGATGGCAAGGCGCGCCGTGCCCACCGTCCACCATCTGAATGCTCACCATGTTTTCTGGGCCAGAAGCTTCCACCGTGCCTGCTGCACATTCGTGCTTCCATGTGTGAGCATGTAAGCATCTCGTCACTTCGCCCAGATCAAGCTCAGCTGACAGCCACCAGCCCGCTGACTGTTCTGCGTACAAAGGGGGTTGTGGACCCCCCAAGGCCCCGATCAGACTTCCCAGAACCTGCCCAGGGCACCTCCACTTCTCGATCCGCTGCCGGCGAAGTATTGATCAAAGGAAGCGCGACGGAGGGTCGCCCCATCTCGTGCCGCGCAGCCCTCAGGCAAGGCAGCACGTCCAGCGCGCCCGTGCTGGGGATGGGGCCCCGGCTGGGGCTCCTCGGCACGGCATGGGCGGTGGGCGTGCTGGTGGCGTGGTTAGGCCCTGCCACCGCCCTGGGCGGGGACATGCCGACCCCGCAAGGTGAGCAAGCCCTCCTTCCACATATAGTTATTCCATTTCTGGTTCGCCGCGGGCCAGATCGCTGCGTTTCCGTGCCGACCATGCGCTACTCCCGCCTCGAGTGAAGTTCGTTTGAAATGGGCCCGCTCTGAGCGGCGCTGGCGTCGATGCCCGTGCTGGAGACCGCTGGGCAGGGATCGATCCTCACTTCTCGCAGCCCGAGCATTGTACTGCGATTTCTGCGATGCGCACCATGCCCCCTGCCCTGTCATTCCACAGAGTCGGTGACGTCAGTGCACTCCATTCACGCTCCGGTCACCTCGCTGCCTCCCTTCTCGGGCCCCCACCCACCCCACCCCCGGCCAGGCTTCCCTCCGTCCCCCCTCCGATTATTATCGCACGCGCGCATCAGTTATGCACTTCTCACTCCCAAGTGCGATGACGTCCTGGCAACCTTCCCACCAGGTCTGGGCGGCACGGGACGCCACGCGCTGCAGGCAGGCAGGGTGGTCTTCGACGGCTCGTCCGACTCCACGCTGGAGGAGGTGGTGGCTGGCCTGGAGGACGGCCAGACCCTCCAGCTCACGGCGCCTCGGGTGCAGCTGCAAGGAACCTTGGAAATAAACGCGACAGGGATTAGGCTGGAGGGGGCCGGTTCTCAATCGAGGACGGAAATTGTCTGCGCCGCGGGCATCCCGGGAATAATGATACGGTGAGCCGGTTGCGCACGCAGCGCCCGTGCGGGTGGGCAAGTGTGAAAGCGGTTTGGGGCTGTTGATTTGGAGGTTCTTTGCAACGAGGGGCTGCGCGCATTTTATTGCAGCGGGCGCCTTCTTCCCTAGCAAGCACGCTAGCGAAGCTGTTTTGCATTCTGCGAAAGATAGTATGGAAAGCCTCGGAACACAACAGGCAAACACGCTGCAGTGAAGCACTTGGGCCTCAGAATCGTGTTGGTCCGCTCAACTTGAAGGAAGGAAAGAATGTTGTGCTCTGGAACAAGAATTGAGGATTGAGACTCTGCGCTGCCAATGACGATGTAGCAATTTCCAAGTGAGACAGGAATTGGATGCAAAAAATGGCTTGAATGCAAGAGAACATGTGCATTGAGTGTCCACCAGGACCACTTGGAAGATGTGTGGATGCACCATTCCTATGTGCAAAAGAGCGTTGAGCACTTTGCCAGGAGGTGTAGCGGACAAGTGGGTTGTCAGCAAGCTTGCTTTTCAGGCTGCACTCAATGTTGGCAAGCCTACCCCATTGCAGATCGAAGATTGTCTTCCAATAGAAAGGAATCATGTCCTTAATGGCTCCCCGTTCTCTTGCTCTTTGTGCTGCTTGTGCTGTGTACACGTGTTACTGCACTTTTACTCCACAGCATCTACTCACAACATGAAAAAGAGTCTCACTCGCATTTGCTTGAGAAAGGGTGCTCTATGTGGGAACTCTTTTCTGTTGCAGTGGAGCAAATCGTTATTGACCCCACCCACTGTCTCCTTGCAAGGTTGTTGCAAACTTCCGTTTCATGTTGTACA